CTTCCTGACCCTCTACCAACTAAACAGGCCCCAACACCCTAGTGGTATCTTGATGGGGCCCAGTCAGCACGTACCAGGCCAGATTCCTAGCTCAGCGAGGTAAATCCAGAGCAGTCACATTGATTTCAACGAAATTCTCCCACATTTACACCCGCGGATTCAGGTATTTATTTTACGCTGTCGTAGGAGAATTGACTGGCTCAGTGAGACAGCCTGTGTAACAGCAGCCACTGGCCCCACTGCTACTGTGTCACCCGAGAGCTACACGGCACGGAGCAGGGGTGACATTTCCATTGAAGCAGCTTCTGCAGACAAGGGGCCAGAGATCAAAGCTATTTAACGCTAGAACGATGAGGGGCCCCAAGAAAACGACTTTGCCAGCACTGCCTGCTGCTAACATGCCCATCACCCTAGCCTCCAGGCTCTCGCAGGGGCTGCGATTTATCCTGCAGCCTTCTCTGAGCTGACGACTCTTCGTCGCTACAACCCACTAACTTCAGGCTGACAGACAGGAGACAGATCTCCCTTCAGAGCCAGCCCCTCTTTAATCAGGCCAGCCACAGGGAGTGCTGTGGAGCTCAAAGGCACAACTATCTTTGCTCTCCCCCCTACACACAGGGTGTAGCTCACAGGCCCCAAGATCCAGGTTCAGGGAAGAGGGTCCAAGCCCCATCACCGGGGCCTGAGTTTTAGCTTTCACAGAAACTCCATCAGGAGGAAACGATCCCACATGATGGTTCCAAAGTCTCCACAAAGCCAATTGTGCATGACATTAGGCCTTCTTCTGAGACTCCCCCACAAGCCAGACCTCATGCCCGAGGGCCAGCGCATGGGAGCCGGAAACTGAAACTGGCTAGGAACGAAAGCAAAACTGACCAGGTTGGAGGGGGGCAGAAGTATCACTGTTCAAAACCTGGAGTCCAAAGCAAAACAGAAGAGACTGAAAAGGGGGAATGATCCAAACTGATTTTTCTTAGCTCCAAACCTGATCCCAGACGTCATGCCAGGAACATTTGTTCTCAAGATACAAGAGATGCAGACTGTGCCCTTCGACCCCTTCAGCAGAGCTTTGGTTTTAAATAGGAAACGAATCAAGGGGATTGTGGGAGTCGGGGGAGAGAAACAGTCGAGGGCCAGGCTGGCAAGCGAAGGACACCTATCTTGAAAGAATACTCTAGCTTGATGAGTAATGGAAAGTTGACGGCCTGGAGGATCCGTTTCTCGTTGAGGGTGTACTCAATTTGTTTGAGCTTCACGAGCTGGAAGAGAAAAGGAAATAGCAAGATCAGATCTTCCTCTGCTGGCGCAGCACCCCCTGCACCTCCCATGCACTCCCCTCTCCTGCATCCCCACGCAGGGTTCAGCTCCAAATCCCTCCCCCACACTGGGGATTCCACGGTCCCCCAGGCCAGATCTCCGCGGCAGCCCCCAGCATCTCACCTTCTGTTTATCCAGGATCTTCATGGCACAGTGATTCCCGGTCTCTTTGTGTTTCACCAGCATCACCCTCCCAAATGAGCCCGTGCCCAGGGTCTTGATTAGATCAAACTGATCCAAACTGGCTGTGTTCTGGAAGGGGGAAAACAAACCTGATGGGGGGCCAGACTGGTCCTGGGGGCATCAGGAAGGAACCTACCTGGGACAGTGGGATTTGCATTGCAAGACTGGAGGGGTCTTTAATGACCAAGAGGGGGTCAGAGCTTCGGTTTTAATAGCTCACCAGAAATGCAGCCCCTCCAGGTCAGCTCTGAGTGTGACGAGAGAGCGCCCCTTACTGAGCCCCCCACTGCCTGCAGCACAGCACCCCCTAGCAACGCACTGGGATTATTCTTTGAGAACATTGATTTGAAGAAGTAGATGTCACATTTCACCACCAGAGGGCGCCAAAGGAAACTGCTACATTTTCAATGAGACACAGACAAGGCATTCCCTGCTCCTTGGGCAGAACCAAAATCCAGTTCCAGACAGGCGACCCGCCCAACTCCATTCAGCGGGGACTGGTGCGTTAGAGGCGGGGGAGCGGCTGGGAGTCAGGACTCCTGGGTTCTAGCCCTCGGTCTGTGAGGAGAGGGAGTGAAGTGTAGTGAAGTGTAGTGGTCAGAGGGCAGGAGACTAGGAGTCAAAAGATGGCCACCAACTTCCTATACCCTTGACCAAGTCCCTTTCCCCTCTGGGCCTCAGTTTCCCCATCTGTGCCATGGCGTTAATGACACAGGGTGTGCGGAAGGACTAGCAAAGTGACAGTGCTGCAGAACCACCCTGGGCGGGATTTCCAGTGGGGACAGACCCAGGGCTGACCCCAAAAGCTTTTCCGGCACCGACAAACTGGGTCACTGCGCTCAAGTGCAGGCAGCAAATGGAGGCCCTTTGAACAGGGTCCCTGTTAGCACAACCTAGGAGCCAATCTGGGGCTCAGCTGGACGACCACGCTGGGGCCTTGGGAGGAGGATGGGGGAGGGGGAGACAGGCTGGATCAGGAGG